TTTTGTAGGGAATCGGCTCCGATTTGGATACCAAGAATCCCAATAGGTAAAATTTCGAAGTTTCGTTTTTCAAAACTTAATAAAAAACGTTTATTTTAACGTTTTTTTATATTTTTTTTTGTAGGAAATCGGTTTTGAGATTTTAATACCGGATTCCCATGTAAGTTTTGAATTAACTTTACGAAACTAAAAAAAAATGTTATTTTAACGTTTTTTATATATTTTTTTTATATTTTTTATAGGAAACTGACTCCGATTTGGATACTGAAATCCCGCAGGTAAAGTTTCGAATTTTCGAAACTTTATTAGACTTAATAAAAAAATGTTTAATTTTAACATTTTTTTATTATTTATTATTATTTTTTTTTTTTTGTAGGGAATCAGCTCCGATTTGGATACCAAGAATCCCAATAGGTAAGTTTTCAAAAATTTGAAACTTAAAAAACTTAAAAAAAAATTAACGATTTTTTTTTTTTTTTTTTTTGGAAAATCGGCTCCAAATTGGATACCGAAATCTTGCAGGTAAAGTTTTTAATTTTTCGAAACTTTACACAACTTAATAAAAAAATGTTTAATTTAACGTTTTTTTATTATTTTTTTTTATTATTTTTTTTTTGTAGGGAATCAGCTCCGATTTGGCTACCATTCCCACAGGTAAAGTTTTGAAGTTTCTTTTCAAAACTTAATGAAAAAACATTTATTAACGTTATTTTTATTTTTTTGTAGGAAATCGGCTCTGAAACTTGGATACCGAATTCCAGGTAAGTTTCGAAATAAAATTTTCAAAACTTTATTTAAAAAAACTGTTAACTTTTTTCTTTTTTGTAGGCTGACATGGGTGGCAAAATCTCCTCGGTCAGGTTTCAGGATGAGTTCAACGTGGCATTTCGAAGGTAAAATCGAAAGATTTTATTAATTTACAGTATCTAACAAACGTTACTAATGTTCGTTCTTATTTTTTGTAGGGCCGGAAAGCCGAAAGACAAATTTCGGTCTTCCATTCCGAAGGTATAAACCAAAATTTTTTATTTTGTTTACTCTATTTTAACGAACGCTAACTAATGTTCGTTCTTACTTTTGTAAGTCCATGGCTTCCTGGGCGGCATTTCGAAGGTAGAAAAATTTTTTTTTTCTTTTTTTATTTACACGAAATGTTGAATAACTTTTGTTTATTTAAATTTTTCTTTTTTGTAAGTACAGAAATCTGAAAACAGATCCTGAACTCCTTGATTTTTTTTTAGGTTTTCAGCTCTCCAGTTTCTGTCTATCTGGATGGAATTTCGAAGGTAACTCTTCGAAATTCTATGTTTTTTTTTTCTTTTTTTTATTTGAACGAAACGTTACTAATGTTTCAATTTTCTCTTTTTGTAGGACCAGAACACGAAAGTATGGTCCCGGGCTCTATTTCGAAGGTATACCCTTTGAAAATTATTTGTTAATTTTATTTTATTTAACGAACGTTATACTAATGTTTGTTTTCTTTTATTTTAGGTCCCGAGTTCCCATTTTGAAGAACTTCAAAGATACACACGTCAAATGACCAAAAACAGGCAAAAAAAATGGCTAGAATTGCATAAACTATTTGCAAATTTATATAAACTATTTACAAATAGTATAGGTTAATTCGCAAATAGCCAAAAACAGCCAAGAATAGCCAAGAATAGCCAAGAATAGCCACTGCTTTTCGTGCCATTTTTTTTGCCAATTTTTAGCATTTCGACCTGTGATAAATATTTCAAAGTTCTTTTTTACTTTTTTTAACGAATGTTATACTAATGTTCATTTTTTTTATTTTAGGTTTCAGGTATTCAACTCTCTGTTAAATTTATGGACAGAATAGGTGAGCTTCGATGTGTTTTTTTTGTTGGTTTTTTATTGAATTTTGGTATTAACATTTTACACTTTTTTTGTAGATTTTCAGTTGAATCTTCTTGGTTTATGAGTAAGCAAACGAGATTCTTCATTATTTTTTGCCGAAACGTTATCATTAATTCTTATTTATAGATCTTTTGACTTTAGGTCCAGATGGATTCGGATTTTGGAAATTGTAAGTTTTTTGCACATCGGTATTGAGCTTAGAATTTGAATTCAGTAAGTTTCGCAATGAATGAAACTTGTTTTTTTTGGCTTTTTCTTTATTATTAAAAATGCTTTCTAACGTTTCCTTTTATTTTGTAGGAACAGACTCTGGCCATGGTAATGAAATGTAAGTCCATTGGGGAAGAGCTTTTTCGATATTAACTTAAAGAAACGTACTAACGTTCCTTTTTTCTTTATTTTGTAGGAATTGTAGACATTTTTTTGCGGAATTCAGATTTTTAGATAAAAATGGTAAATTTGAAATAATTTATAGTTGAGTTTCGAAATGTTATTAGTTGATGATGATTTTTTGCCTAATTTTTTATTAATTCTTTTTATTTTTTATTCATTAGGTTAAAAATGGCGAATTTAGAATGACATATGTGCCGATTTTTGGAATTAGTCTAAATTAAGATTTTTATAAAAATTTAATATTTTAGTAAGATTAACATTACACAAATCTAAATTAAATATGTGTTACATATTTACGTAACTCAGATTTAATAAAAAATAAAAAAAATTTTTTTAATCAATATTCAAAAATAACGGTAATAACCACTTCTTTTTCCCCATCACTCCCATCACTTTTCCATCATTTTTCTATTCACTTTTATTAAATATGACAAAAAAGTTTATAAGCAAATATAGCAGTTATTTTTAAGTGGTAAGTAAAAGAAAAAACTTAATATTTTATATACATAGATAAGACATATTTTTTCATAATTTTTAGCTTTAATTTATTGTTTTTTCTTTGTAAAAAATACATGCAAATAAAAAATAATTATGATGTAAAATAGTTGTAAAATGAATAATAAGATATTCTTTTTTTTTCAAAATAACTAATTATATATTTGTTTTTTATCTTTTAAAATTATTTTATTAGATTTATTCTACTAAAATCCTTAAATGGCAAATAAAATCTTTTAAATAAAGTAAAAGAATTTGGGATTCTCTTATGAAAGCATTTTTTGGTAAGAAATAAAATTTTCAGATCGGACTTTATGCAGGTGACAAAATCGTGCATTATTATTCCTGGAGATATGCTAACGTCATCATTTTACATTCATTTGAAAGCTGAGAATTTGCTCTATCGTAAGAATCAAAGATCAGGAAAATTGGATCACTGGATGAGGCGTAATTAACGATCAAAGTCAAATCAAATTTAAAAATTAAAAATAAATATATTAGACGTAATTATTCACAATCCAGTGATTCAATTCATTCGATTTTAGGCTTATTAGATAGACCTCAATTTTCTCTTTCAAATGAATATAATTTCATTCGTGTAGCTTGCATCTACAGGTATTTAATAAATTTTTTTATATCAGATTTTATCAAACTTATAAAATTTTATATTAATAATATAATTGATGATTCCTAAACATCTACATATATTAAACGAATTATTTTAAATTTATTTTAAAGATAAAAGTTGGCATCACCTTAGGGAGCAAAGATCATTCAAATTGAATCACTATATGTGAAGTAATTAATGATCAAATTTAGATAAAATCAAATAATATACTGAACGTGATTACTGAACAACTAGTGATTCAATTCACTTGATTTTAGATTCATTAGATAGATCTCGATTTTCTCTTTCAAATGAATGTAAATTTATTTGTATAGCTTATTTCTACGAAGAATTATCAATGATTTTGTCATGAGAGTTATATTTGATCTTTTAAATTTTAATGATATCTTATATTAAAAAAAAATTAAAAATTATATAATTAATTAGTTTTTTTTGCATTATCTGGTATAAATTTATTATTCTTATATAAATGATAATTTATATTTGCTTTAATAAAATTATTTTTGTGTAAAAAAATTAGATTCCAAGGATCGGCCCATATGATTTATTATAGGTATTATAGATGTATTTTAGATTAGAAATAATTAAGGAATATATATATATTAAATGTAATATTTAACAATAATAATGTAATTTGAAATGTCTAATAAAAATCGAATAAAATTAAACTAAATTCGGAAAAAATTATTCACATTCAATCTAAAATTTGCCATAATTCAGACAAAATTCATCAACAATTCAGAAAAAAATTATCTAAAATTTGCCGTAATTCAGACAAAATTCATCAACAATTCAGATTAAATTCAGAAAAAATTATCTAAAATTTGCCATAATTCAGATAAAATTCATCACAATTGGTTAAACAATTCAGATTAAATTTGGAAAAAAATATCTAAAATTTGCCATAATTTAGACAAAATTCATCACAATTGGTTAAACAATTCAGATTAAAATTACTAAACAATTCAGAATAAAAAATATATTCAATTCGGACATTCTGATCAGTGTCGATCAGCCTGCCAATCGGAACTTTTCCTAAATTAATAAATCGGCCATCTTTATCACCAAATTCAGCCTAAAATCGGACATCCGATTTCTAGCTGATTTGGACTATTTCGACCAGTGAGGTGAGTGGGAATAGGAAAGGAGGAAAGGTGCCTTTTTTTTTAATCCAAGAATGTTTATTAACATTCATTATTTTTTTTATATAGATCTGAATCAGTTCCAGGAAGTTTCAGTTTTGGCTTCAATATCGGAAATTGAAAACAGTTTTAGGTAGCAACATTAATCATACTAATAATTTTAAATAAAATAAAAAGGATATAACATCAAAATACCAATGACATTATTACTCATACAATTAAACAAATTACTTTCGCTTTTAATGCATTATTTTTTTCATTAATTAGTTTTTTTTATTTGTAGATTTTATTTGTTTAAGTTGATTAAATCAGGAAATTTTTGGTGTAAATTAATAATTCATTTTTTTAAAAATTTAAAGAATTTCTTATTTTAAAAGAAAGTGTGAAATTTTGATTTGATTTTTGCATTTTTGTTTCTTTATTTACTTTTTTTTTTACAAACACTATTTTTAAAGGGGGTATAATATTCGTGATTTTTTACATTTCTATTTTATTAATCTACATGATACTTCTATTTTAATTATTTTTAACGTCAGTTATATTTTTTTTTTTAAGAATTTGAAACTAAAATGTGCGCTTGTTTCGTGTAAAAATGAAAATAAACAAATTCTGCAGTACATATATTTCCGTTGGCTTCCTTATCACGCCTATATTTCCATTCTACCATCACGTCACCATACTGGCATTTGGTGGGAGACTTTTTTGATTTTATTATAGTAATATTTTTAGCAGTAGCTAATGCCAACGGGTTAAGCTCACGTGACGAGTTATGGTTATCAGTTAAAACAACATAAGTTTTTTGATTTTGGTCGTAGTTTTTTGTCCTCCAATCTGTCCTTTCAAATATCTTGTTTAACTTTTTTCCTCCCTCTTTTTCTCGAAACCAACACTTGTAAACACCAGATTTTTTAGAGTAATAGTGTATATGATTTTTAAAAATTGCATGAAATTGACTTTCACTGCATGGAACCGAGACTATCTTTTTTCCAGAATTTTTTAAGCCATTTGGCAATCGACGATGGATGAAATAGATTAAATCATTTTTAAAAAGTTTAGTTATATTTTTTGGCACCACTGGGAGTCCTTTACGAAGAATATTATACTTTCGGATAATAGTATTATGACGAGCTAATCCTGCATTACTTTTAAATAGTTTTTGGCATACGTTACATTTATATTCGCTTGCGTTTGTAGGTGAAGGTGTATTTGGAGATGAAGGAAAAGCCATTGTTCTGTAAAAAAATTGTATAAAAGAGTTCAAGTTTTTTATGTGACCATGATTGCATATTTGCATGCATTAAATCGTAAATAAAATTCCTGGTAGATCATCACATGATTAAAATAATTTTCATAGTACAATGAGCCAATCAAGTATAAGTATCGACTCAAAAGTATAAGCGGGTGGACAGCAGACATACATAGTCCTTACTCCTTCACTATGTTCTGGACTAATTATTATAGAAAGTTTTGGCCTGGTACAAAATGCAAAATTCTGGAATCCCAGTATCGGGTAACATTATGTTTAATGCCAGCCAATTTTTTGGATTTCGTGTCAGTCTGGAATTTGACTGTGGGATTTTGTGCAGATTTCAAGATTCCGAAAAAGGTTACGACTAAGCGAAAAAATTGCATTTTATAAATAAAATAATTTAAAATAAAAAAAAAAATATTTTTTTTTTCTTAATTCCGCTGTAATAACCGAAAAATACAATAAAATAGAATAAGGATAAATAATTAACCGATGGGTAAATAATTAGCCAATAAAATTATATTTATAGTTTAGTTTAGTGTAACGAGATAGTCATATGATAATAGATCTTCAAATTTTATTAGAAAAAATAGTAAATATGAGAAATATTTTTCTTAAAATGTATAAATACAAATGGATTTCGATAGGAAATTCTGCAGTCAATTTTTGGCTCAAATAAAATAATATTAAAATATTAATTATTAAAAAGTTATTTAAATATGAATATGCTCATTGTACGCTTGAGAATTAATTAATATTATATTATTAAGTTCGAGAATTTAAAATAATATTTGGTAAGAAAATAATGTTTTTGTAATTTTTGTAACTAATTTTTATTTTTAATCAAGCATAGATATTATACGAACTCAACACGTCGGTGGCAACATACGATATTTTATTTTAATATCTTATGGGCGGTGTGTCACACCGCAGATCTGCCCATATGATATAACTTTTATTATATTATACTTATAAATTTATATATTATAGTAATGATATTTATATTATGATAGAATAATATCTTAGTATAATATATATAATATTATATAATAATTATAATACTAGTTAAATTTATTGTGTAATAATTATAATTTTGATCAAAATTATAATAAAAAATTTTCAATTGTAATCAGTATAACAATTTCTTTTAATTTTTTATTAATGGTAAAATTTTTTTTTTTGGCAATTATATAATATTACATAATAGTGACCAAAATTAAAAATCATTTATTTACTTAATTTTGACTAATTACAGTAAATTAATTTTGGCTAATTTTTGTTATATATAATATATTTTTTTTTATTCTGCAATGCATTTGCCAATTTATTAAATTAAATTTTTATAAAATAATGAAAATTACAAAAAAAAAAATAATCTAATATTATTACTAATAAACTGCTTGTTATATTATAAAAAATATTTATATATATTAATATATACTGAGTTAACTAATTGTATTTAGTAAATATTGATATATAAAATATCACATTTTTAGTATATAATATTTTACTTTCTATAACTTAAAATACTAAAGAACCTATTACATTACAGTATTTTGTAATTTAAAGTTCTGTAAAATAAAAATGTAAAACAATTTATTTACTTTATTAAATTTCTTACTACTAATCTTTAAAAATATTCAAATCCATATTATAAAATCTACCAATATAAATTTAAAATAGAAAATAAATTAATAAGTTATTTAAGTATCTGTAAAACTATTGGTATACAAAATAGCAAGGTAAAAAGTAATTCTATTATATTAAATATATTAAGTTACAAAAAAAAATCTTTTATCAGATATATGCCAACTATATATATTACAGATCGAAATACTAAAAATTGGCAAAAAAGATGGAGTGAAAAGCAGTGGCTATTCTTGGCTATTCTTAGCTATTTTTGGCTATTTGTAAATTAACTTATACTATTTGTAAATAGTTTATACAAATTTGTGAATAGTTTATGCAATTCGCACCATTTTTTTTGCCTGTTTTTGGTCATTTGACGTGTGATATATAAATCATAATATTAAAAGACTGTTTAATATCCAGTAAATACTATAATTCAACTTATAAGTTCTATTTATAGTAAAAGAAATATATGAAATATAAAATAAAAAAAAAATCTATATAAAAAAAATAAAATGAAAATAGAATTCTAAATCTATATAAGGTTTTAAGAAGTGATTTTTCTTCACTCTTGATATATATAAGTTAAAGTATATAAGACCAAGTTATTTGTTTATTTAATATTTAAAAATAAATAAAAGATCTACTTTACAAATTAGAAAAAAGTTAAGCTAATAAAGATATTATATTAGCCAATAAAATTCAAAAATAATAATCTATTAATATACTAGAACCCCAAACAATATATATATAGGTCAGATGAAAAATTCAAAATTTACTAAGGTCAATAAGCAAATATTTTTCATGTCTGCTAAGTAAACTTTTATCTAACTCATAAATTTTTTACACTGCTAAGCAACTTATTTTATAACATATATATATTTATATATAATTTTTTTTATAAAAATATGTATATAAAAAAAAACTAAAAAGACAAAAATTTTTAAAATAATGTATGGATTAAGCTATTATAATTTTTTTGTAATATTACAACTAAAGCGGTTAGGGTTAGGGTTAGGGTTTAGGGTTAGGGTTAAGGTTAGGATTCCGAATAGTTTGTGCTAAACCGGGGAACCGATCCGAAACCAGCTCAAAATTCGGTTCGGTTCGATTCGGGTATTAGAACCGAAAAACTGGCAGTTCGGTTCAGTTTAATCTGATTTTTATAAAAATGCGAAAAATCGAATAGCCGGCCATCTAGTGATTGTATAAATTCGAGCCATATATCATTAGATTCGTCTCGACGAGACGCGTCGAATGGCGGTAAGATCATGTCTCTAGCATCGATAGATCACACGTTAACCCACGCTAAATGATTTATAAATAATTGGAATTAGCAAGCTATCTATTGGTGCTAGAGATATGATCTTAGTACCATTCGACTAGGGCTCCGATCGGTTTGGTTCGGTATGGTTTTTGCCAAAACTGAAACTGACCGGTAAATACCGAAAACCGAACTGATTTACCGATTCATTATCGGTTCAGTTTTTAACATTTTCGCAACATTTTTTATTAAAAAAATGTGCGAAAACGTTTTTTTTAATTAAATTAACTAACAAAAACATTTTGCAACGTTTTTATTAAATTATCAAAAAAAAATGTTGCGAAACGTTTTTTTTTAATTAATTAACTAATAAAAAACGTTTCGCAACGTTTTCTATTAAGTTATTAAAAAAAAATGTTGCAAAACATTTTTTTTTTAAATAAATTAACAAATAAAAACGTTTCGCAACGTTTTATTAAATTAAATTAATTAACTAATAAAAAACATTTTGCAACGTTTTCTATTAGGTTACTGAAAACAAACGTTGCGAAACGTTTTTTTTTTAAATAAATTAACTAATAAAAACATTTTGCAACGTTTTTATTAAATTATCAAAAAAATGTTGCGAAACGTTTTTTTTAAATTAATTAACTAATAAAAAACATTTCACAACGTTTTCTATTAAGTTATGAAAAAAAACGTTGCGAAATATTTTTTTTTAAAATTAATTAACAAATAAAAACGTTTCGCAACGTTTTTATTAAATTGTCAAAAAAAACGTTGCGAAACGTTTTTTTTTAAAATAAATTAATTAATAAAAACGTTTCGCAACATTTTTATTAAATTATCAAAAAAAACGTTGCAAAACGTTTTTTTTAAATAAATTAACTAATAAAAACGTTTTGCAACGTTTTTATTAAATTGTCAAAAAAAATGTTTCGCAACGTTTTTTTATCAACGTTACGAAATGTTCGGCAAATCAGTTCGGTAAATTTACCGAAATGATCAGTAAAATTTACCAAAGTGATCAGTAAAATTTACCGAAGTGATCGGTAAAATTTACCGAAACTGATACCGAAAATATCAGTTCAGTAAATCGGTTCATTAAATCGCAAAACTGATACCGAAACCGAAGTTACTGAAACCGATCGGTAAATTTACCAAAAGGTTTAGTTCGGTAAATCAGAATACCGAAACCGTTCTGATACCGAAACTGATCGGTTCGGTTCGGTAATTACTGAAACCGATCAGAGCCCTACATTCAACGCGTCTCAGTGAGACGAATCCAATGAATCCTAATTCATATTTGTACGACCATTGGACGACGAATAAATTCATTCATCGTCCAATGGTCATACAAATATGAATTAGGACTCATTGGATTCGTCTCAATGAGACGANAACTGATCGGTTCGGTTCGGTAATTACTGAAACCGATCAGAGCCCTACATTCAACGCGTCTCAGTGAGACGAATCCAATGAATATAAATTCGTTCGTGTACGACCACTGGATGGCGAATAATATCAAGTTTCGCATTTTTTTAAAAATTTCAAGCGTTTAAAATTAAAAATTCCGATACATGAATTTATTCATCGTCCAATGGTCATACAAATATGAATTAGGACTCATTGGATTCGTCTCAATGAGACGAGTCAAATGGTGGTGAGATCACGTCTCTAGCATTGATAGATAGCTTGCTAATGCTAATTTTTTATAAATCATTTAGCGTGAATTAACTTACGATCTATTGATGCTAGAGACATGATCTCACCACCATTCGACTCGTCTCATTGAGACGAATCCAATGAGTCCTAATTCATATTTGTACGACCATTGGACGACGAATAAATTCATGTATCGGAATTTTTAATTTTTAATGCTCAAAAATTTTAAAAAAATGCGAAACTTGACATTATTCGCCATCCAGTGGTCGTACACGAACGAATTTATATTCATTGGATTCGTCTCACTGAGACGCGTCGAATGGTGCTAAGATCGTATCTCTAGCACCGATAGATAGCTTGCTAATTCCAATTATTTATAAATCATTTAGCGTGGGTTAACGTGTGATCTATCGATGCTAGA